TTAAAATACTCTTAAGAAAATGTGGTCAAAGGAATGTAAAAAGTCTTTGTCTATTACTAATTCTCTTCTCCAATTATATTTACTACAGAAAGGTAATCAATTTAAAGGCTAATAAAGATTACATGTGAATCAAAATGTCCCTAATTAATTCTGTGAGAAACATATTCTAACTTGCTTAATTATAATGAAATTATAGTCAATAGTTAATTGCTAATACTTAGTCGGCATATACTATTTCTCACCGTTTTAAGGGGTTTATATGTATTATCTCAGTTAATCTTCACAATAACCTTACAACTATACGTTCTATAATCTTCATTTTACATGATGAAACTGAGGAATCTTTAAACATACTAAAATTCATATATCCACTAAGTTGCCAAGACAGGAGTTGAACCTAGAGTGTCTTCTCTTAACCACCACTCAAGACATTTAAAAGTGGATAGAAAAAAAAAAAGAAAGAAGAAAAGAAAAATCAATACTTTCCCTGAGAGAATAACTAAACTAGAACTTCATATTTAAAAATGTGGCCACAAACCTCAGCAAGTTGTCTTTGTAACTCTGCTATTTTCTGTTCATATATCATTTTTCTGTCAGACACAATGGCCATTAAGTTAAATCGAATTTCACCTTCACTGTATCTAAAAAAAAGTTAGAAGTTTATAATGTAATAAGGAATTGTAACACTATTACGATTAAGATAATCTATTGTGATTACCCCATGATTCTCCAGGATAAATAAGAATCTTCAATTGGCTAACAATAAAAACTGACATTTTAAAAAGCTTCCATATATGAAAGAGTACAAATGCAGTAAACAAAATTAGCTAAATTTCATCAATCACAAATACTTTTTAAATATTCTAACATAAAGTTAGCACCTCTAAAATGTATGAAATATTTTCATCAGTTCTCATACTTTTGTAAGAAATATGGCAATTATCATTTACTTATGATCTCAGAAAAAAATCATTAAACTAATACCTCACGTTTGTTGGATTAATTATACTGGCATCTTGATTGTAATTAACTATATTCCTAAGTATACACTTTTTCTGGGTCATAACATAGCTACTTTTAATTAACATATTTTTATGTTTCATTTATACTGTTTCATTATGCACAATGTTACTTTATTAATATAATATGTTTATATCCTATTATAAAAAATTTCTGAATGCTGTTTTATTTTCACTACTCCGATACCAGAGTACTAGAATGAAACACCTTGTTTAGGGTAGTGGCTGACATTAGAAAAATTATCCATAACACTATGTAAATGATGCTTGATCATGATGAAAACATATAAAAAATGTAAGCCTGTTTCTGCATTAGGTCACCCACAAAAGTTTCTCATACGTAATTCTATTAACTGGAAAGAATACAGCCAATATAACTATAGTACTTAGAACTATGTAAAAACATTGTTTTTAAAACTCTGCTTGTGGGACTTCCATTTTCCTATTCTTCTCACTAAGAAAATATCAAACTAAAAATCCTAGATGTAATATATATTAAAAAGGAAAAAATAAGAATCCTGAAAGGTGAAGAGAAGACAGACAGGCTAGGGAACCAGGACCCAAGAATGATACAATAGTGAATTCCCTAAGTTATTTTTTTGCCCAATTACCTTAGACGTGGAGCTAAAGAAACCAGCAATCAAGAAATGCCAACAGGCACAGACAAAAAAGCACTAACACGAACCTGCTCTTTCAATCTAAACAAGAAAGGGTCAAACTAACAAAATAAACCTTTTAGACAACAGCCACATACAACTGAAAAAAATTGTGGCCCCAATCTTACCTACCAGCAAAGGCTATGTAAGGAACTGGGACATTCATCTCTGTGAGTAGTAATGGCTCCTATTTGCAGCATGAGAGGAGACTAAATGGGAAGCCAAGTGGGAAGTCACTGCCATCCAGTGATAAAGAACCTTCCCCAACATTAGTATTAGTGGACCATGTAGAGAACAATAAATGGCACCTTACCCTTCCCAGTCAGAACAGTATCAGTGGAAGCCTGGGGCCACAGCTACCACCCCCACCTAACAGTAACACAGAACCCCTACCCACCTAAGATGTCAGTGGAGGCAGAGTGAGAAACCTAGACTTCTACTCCCACCTGAAACTAATGAGGCAGCATCTCTGATTTACCCTGCCAGAGCATCACCCATACAAACCAACTAAGAGAAATTTTAAATAAGATCCAGTCTTGTTATATAACATGCAAAAAAAAACTCAGGTTTCAGTTGATAATTAAATCAATTTATTTAATTAGTCACATTAAATACCATGCAAATCTAAACTTGAGTGAAAAAGAAACAACAGATAGTGAGATAAAGATTTTAAAACAACCTTCATAAAAAATGATTCAATGAGTAATTATAAATATATTGGAAACAAAAAAAATGGAAAGCCCTGCAAAGAAAAAGAAGATGTAAAGAAGAACTAAATGGAAATTTTATAATTGAAACATACAACTAATAAAAAAGTTCAATGGATAAGCTCAATAGCAGAATGGAAGCAACAGAGGAATCAGTGAACTGGAAGATAGAAATCACCCAACAAAACCAGAACAGAGAAAAGAAACTGAAAAAAAAGAGAGAGAGAGAGAGAGAGAGAGAGAGAGAGAGAGAGAGAGAGAGAGAGAGAGCACCTCAAGGACCTGTGGGACTGAAGCAAAAGATCTAACAGCCACATTACTGTAGTCCTGGAAGTGGAGGAGAAAAAAGGTAAGGTTGAAAATGTATTCCCAGATATAATGGCTAAAATCTTCCCAAAATTTGACAAGAGACATAAATGCACTGATTCAAGAAGCTGAGCAAATTCCAAATAGATACACCCTAAGAAATCCATACCAACACACCATACCAAAATTTATGAAAGACAAAAGAAAAAATTTTGAGAGCAGAATGAGAGAAACACCACCATATCTACAGGGCAAAAACAGTTTGAACAACAGTGGATTTATCATCAGATACCATGGAAGTCAGAAGGGAGTGGAATAACATTTTTCAACTGCTAAAAGAAAAGACTGTCAATGCAGAATTCTATACACAGTGAAAATATCCTTCAGATTAAAAGGAAATCAAAACATTCATAGATGAATAAAAACTAGGAATCCACTAACAGCAGACCTATCATAAAAGAATGGCTAAAGAAAGTTTTATTTAAGCAGACAAGAAATGACAAAAGAAAGAGTTCTAGAATAGGAGGAAAGAAGAATAAAGGGAGAAAGTAAAAATATGAGAAAAAATACATTTTCTATCTCTTATGCTTTCTACATTGTTTCATGGTTGAAGTAAAAATTATAATACTATCTTATGTGGTACTAAATGTAGAGGAATTATAACAATTAGAACAGTAAAAGTACATAAAAGAAAGTAGATTTCTATATTCCACTCAAAATGATAAAATGTTAATACCAGTAGACTGGTATAAGTTAGAGACACCAATAAACCACCATACAAAGAAATAAACTGAAAACCACTACACGTAAGTAAAAACACAATTCTAAAAAATGTTTGAGTAACTCACAAGAATAGAATAAGAATACAGAGAACCAAGAGAAAAAAATATCAGTAATTGCATATTAAATGTATGTAACTTTTATTAAATTTCATAAATCTATTACATTCAATGTAAATGGTCTACACCCACCAAATAAAAGTCAGAAAATGGCAGAGTGGGTTAAAAAACATGATTCAATATATGCTGCCTACAAGAAACTCACTTTAAATATGAAATGTACATTGAAGGTAAAAGAATGGAAAAAGATATACCCTGCATATTAATCAACATAAAGCAGGACTGGCTATATTACTATGACATAAACTTCAGAGCAAAGAAAATTATTAGAAAGAGACATTATATAATGATAAAAAGGTCAATCCAAGCAGACTGACCATAAATGTTTGTTTATACACTAAACAAACCTACAAAATTACACCAAAAACTGATAAAAGTGAAATGAGAAATAGACAGATCCAAAACTGTCCCTACTTACAAAAGACATGATTATCTATGTAGAAAATGCCAGGTAATTCACAAAAAACTTCCAAAGTTGGTGGGTGACTTCAGCAAGGCCAAGCAAGGTGAGTTTGCCAAAATCCCAGGAAAAATAGATACAAACAAGATCACACTAAAATTTATATGTAAAGGCAGAGGAACTATAACAGCTAAAACAGTTTTGAAGAAAAAAAAATTAAGTTAGAGGCATCACTCTACCTGATTTCAAGACTTATAGCTACAGTAATAAAGACTGTGTAGTACTAGCAGAGAACAGACAAATAGATCAGTGGAACAGAACAGTGAACCCAGAAATAAACCCATACAAATATGCCCAACTGGTTTTTTATAAAGGTACAGGAACAATTCAGTGGAAGGATAGCCTTTCCAAAAAATGGTGCCAGGGCAATTGGACATACATAGGCAAAAAAAATGAACCTTAACGTCACACAATACACAAAAATTAACTCAAAACAGATCACAGATTTAAATATAAAAACTACAAACCTTCCTGAAAAAAGACAGGATCTTTGGGATCTGAGGCTATCCAAAGAATTCTTAGATTTGACACAAAAATACATTTTACAATAGGAAAGACTGATAAATTGGGCTTCACTGGGATCAACAGCTTTTGCTCTGTGAAAGACTATGTAGGGAGGATGAGGAGATGGCTACAGACTGGGAGAGGGCATTTGCAGGCAATATGTCTGAGGAAGGACTAGTATTATCTGTATTAAGTAAAGAACTTCAAAGCTCAACAGTCAAAAAACAAATAATCCAATTACAAAATAGGCAAAAGGCATGAAAAGATTTTCCACATCATTAGTCATCAGGGAAATGCTGACTAAAACTACAATGAAACATCATCACCTGCCTATCAGAAAGGCTAAACTTTTTTTTTAATTGACAAAACCAAATGCTAGCAATTCTGTGGAGAAACTGGATCAGTCATTTGTGCTGGTGGGAATGTAAAATGGCACAGACACTTTGGAAAAGACTTTGGCAGTTTCCTAAATCACAAATGCAAAAAAAATAGAAAAAAATCACAAATGCATTTACAATATGACTAAGCAATGGCACTCCTGGGCATTTATCCCAGAGAAATGAAAATTTATGTTCACACACAAAAATGTGTACATCTAACAGTCAAAAACTGTAAACAATCCAGATGTCTTTCAATGGGTGAATGGGCAAAAAAATGATATATCCATACTACAGACTACTATCCATCCATAGAAAAGGATTAACTCTTGATACACCTAACAACCTGGATGAATTTCCAGAGAATCATGGTGAGTGAAAGAAGCCAATCCAAAAGGCTTACATTCATATGATTCCAGGTATACGACATTCTTCCAATGACAAAGATTATAGAACTAGGAATTAAAGATTGTGGGGGGCAGGCGGGGCATCAGGAAAGGCAAGTGATTGTGGCTATAAAAAGACAACATGAGGAATCCTTGCAGTTACGGAATTATTCTGTATCTTCACTGCATCACTATCCTGGCTGCAACATTGTAGTATAGGTTTGCAAGATGTTACCATTACAGGGTAAAGGGTACACAAGATCTCTCTGTATTGCTTTTATAACTGAATGTGAATATATAATTATCTCAAAATAAAAAGTTTAATTTAATTTAAAAAGATGCTCAAAAACAAACTCTACAAAATAATTGTACAAAATATCTAACTTAATGCAGATCTGCTTATTAACTGCTATAAAGATGACATTCTGTAGAATTTAGAGATTTTCTGAAATAGATTTCCTAAACAATTAATACAATCAATAATGGATGTTCAATAAGCAATGCTAAAATAACAATAAAAGTTTTTTGAAATGTTTAAAAACCAGAACATTATGCCAATGAAATTAGCTGAACATTTACTTTTGTATCCTTTTTTCTATGACTGGCCTTACTGCGCTGATCCAGTCATCTTGATTGCATGCACCTGGAAAAAAATTCAAAATAATTTAAATGAAATAAAATCAATATTACATTACTTCAAAAGTTTGGCCCCAAGTATCTTTTTATAAATACTTCAACAAATTCAGGAGAGTAAAAATCCTTTTAGCATTTATGTTAAACTTCAGTTCTTATTTTCTTCCTATTGGCAAAAAAGGGGGAAAGAGCATTAATGCCACTTGCACTGCCACCATATTGTGTTACTTAGTCAGTGCTGACCAAATGTTTGAGGAAATAATGAGTTAGGGAGTTATCTCAATAAAACTCACAATTCTGTGTAATAAGGGTAACTACCTTCATTTTACAGATGAAGAAACTGAGGGCTAAGAAAAACCAGAGCATATATTATTATCAAAATAAGGATTTAATTGTTATCTGATTCCCCACCATCATAACTACAAAATAAAAAACTGAAATCCACACTTCAAAATTTAAACTGCAGTGCAGCTAAAACAAAGGTAAATACCAAATATTTTTCTCCTCGTCAAAAGCGAAGTACCAGGAACAGGAACCAGATTACCTAAATCAATCGGTCCTTCTCTTAATCCATCTAATTCATACAGTCTCCCATTAACAGGAACATAACTGACAAAGTGAAAAGCATCTTCTTCTTTTGCTGATGTCTTTGCATCAAATTCAAACATTTGCTGTCTACAGTGAAGAAGAAAAGTAGTGAGAGACAAACAAGCAAAAAAAGAAACAGTATTTTTTTAACATAAAGTCTCTTTACCTGGCGAAACTGTTGTGTACTTGTCGAATTACATCTGAATTGCTCAGTGCCAAACCTTTCATCTAAAATAATTTTTTAAAGTAGCCTATTAAAATAAGAATTATCACAAATAAGGCATTTTAAGAATTAAGATTGTACTCACAGCTGCATCAAAACTTTGTGAAAATTCTTTAAACTCTGATAATGTCTCTCCCAAATGGACATCTTGATGGGTACAGTTCAATAACACACTTACTATAGCTTGAGTAGCACAAGCATTATTAATTACCTAAAAATATAAAAGCAAAGACAGTATCAATTTGCTAAAAATTTTTAAAGAGCAGCTTTTACTTAGTAATAATGACACCCAAAATATGAAAAGTTTAACACTTCTGTTAATTCCTCTTCTGGTATTTTGTACTCAACTATCTTATAATTGATGAATTAGGGAAAAGTAACAGAAGATCTAGAATCCAATTAATAATGCTGCTGATGCCTTTTAATATGTATTTGATCTGAATCACAGTTCTTTAGTAAGTTTGGAAGAAATATATTAATGATTAAACGAGACTTTATAAAGGTGGTTAACTAAAATTTTGTAAGACACAGTACTTACTCCCTTACCTTGGGCCAAACCATTGGGGATAAAATTACCTGGGAATGGTTAGCAGGAGTGAAGTCAAGAGAAGTTAAAATATACATTCATTCACACATTCTTTCAAGAACATGACACATTAAAGATATAATATAGTCCATCACAGAATTAGAAAAAAACCTCCTTCAAAACTCATCAAATTGTATACATTAAATATGTATTTTTTTGTGTATTTCATTAAAGCTATTTTCTCTTCAAAAAATAAAAAAATTGTGGGTAATGATATTTCTCTTTCAATATTAATGATTTACACTGTCCATGATTCATTACAACTCATTTTGTGTGTGTGTGAAGATAGTAAGAACCGTGTGCATGGGTATAAAAATATCTAGTAAGGTTTTAAAATGAGTTTAGCGCCACCAGGTGGTTATGCTATACATAATAAAGAAGTACCAAAAAAAAAAAAACAAGTGCAGGGCCCTTCATTAAAATATTTACTGAGCACCTACTGAATACCAGAGATTGTGACAGGTGATCAAGAGAGATAGGGTCCTTTGACCTCATGAAACTCCCATAAAAATCACATTATGTATATTTATTTAAGAGAACTCTAACTTGAGCTCATGTTACAAAAAACTATCTGCAGTATAAATTACATATGCAGTCCCCAACTTCTTAAATCAATTTATACAGAATGTTCTATTATATGCTCTGTCTTTTCACATATTTTTAAATACAGTAGTAGTGTTTGACAGTAGAAACTACGTTACACCAGAAGGTCACAAGTATGGCTGACCCACACCTTAAGAGTCTGATTTGAGTTCCTTGGCAAGGGCATACATTCTTTACTTCATTTGGGCTCTTCCACTCCCTTTTTTACACACAACCTGATTCACACATTGGTGTTGCCAACCTGATTCTGCAACCATTTGACTTCGCAATCTCTCTGGGTTAGAGAGTAACTTCTTTTCATAGTTTAGACAAAAGAACATAGTAGATGCACAGAGGAATACTACTAAAATAGCTTAGTATTGCACTTTAAGTTATTGCCAATCTTCATGGAGTCATAGATATAAAATAAATTAATCAATTTTTATTATTCATTAATTAATTTATTAAGAAAAAAAGATTGAGAATGAACCTGTGGGTACCCAAAGGGAAGCTGACACTAAAAAGAGAGTAATTTAGATGGAAATTTTGTGAAGAATTTCTGCCTTGAAGAATTTAAAAAGAAAACACACAGGAAAAAAGTGATGAATAGAAAACCAAAATAATGATGATGGAAGAAAGCATCTTGGTCTGGAGTTTCAGAAGTTTATGAATGGGAAATTAGAGTAGAGCTTTGAAAGCTTGGTAGGAGCTAGAGAACAAAGAAGGAAATTCATTCAAGGAAGGGAGAAGGATCTGAACAAAGGAAACAAATTAAGATGACATACTTAAGAGACAGTGAGCATACTGATTTGTATTAGTATGGTTTACAATCATAATAGGGGTTCATTTGTTATCTTGCAAGTCACTGACCTTGAACAATTAGCACTGCACCCTTTTTTAAAAGGGAAATAACGATAAAAATAATGCTTCAAAGGATTCAGTTTAACACAATTTACAGGAAGGACTGAAGGTGACTGAAAACAGAAACAAGATCAGCTGGGTTGCTACTCTAATGCCAGTATGAAATAATAAAGGTATAAAAATCACATTATGTATATTTATTTAAGAGAACTCTAACTTGAGCTCATGTTACAAAAAACTATCTGCAGTATAAATTACATATGCAGTCCCCAACTTCTTAAATCAATTTATACAGAATGTTCTATTATATGCTCTGTCTTTTCACATATTTTTAAATACAGTAGTAGTGTTTGACAGTAGAAACTACGTTACACCAGAAGGTCACAAGTATGGCTGACCGACACCTTAAGAGTCTGATTTGAGTTCCTTGGCAAGGGCATACATTCTTTACTTCATTTGGGCTCTTCCACTCCCTTTTTTACACACAACCTGATTCACACATTGGTGTTGCCAACCTGATTCTGCAACCATTTGACTTCGCAATCTCTCTGGGTTAGAGAGTAACTTCTTTTCATAGTTTAGACAAAAGAACATAGTAGATGCACAGAGGAATACTACTAAAATAGCTTAGTATTGCACTTTAAGTTATTGCCAATCTTCATGGAGTCATAGATATAAAATAAATTAATCAATTTTTATTATTCGTTAATTAATTTATTAAGAAAAAAAGATTGAGAATGAACCTGTGGGTACCCAAAGGGAAGCTGACACTAAAAAGAGAGTAATTTAGATGGAAATTTTGTGAAGAATTTCTGCCTTGAAGAATTTAAAAAGAAAACACACAGGAAAAAAGTGATGAATAGAAAACCAAAATAATGATGATGGAAGAAAGCATCTTGGTCTGGAGTTTCAGAAGTTTATGAATGGGAAATTAGAGTAGAGCTTTGAAAGCTTGGTAGGAGCTAGAGAACAAAGAAGGAAATTCATTCAAGGAAGGGAGAAGGATCTGAACAAAGGAAACAAATTAAGATGACATACTTAAGAGACAGTGAGCATACTGATTTGTATTAGTATGGTTTACAATCATAATAGGGGTTCATTTGTTATCTTGCAAGTCACTGACCTTGAACAATTAGCACTGCACCCTTTTTTAAAAGGGAAATAACGATAAAAATAATGCTTCAAAGGATTCAGTTTAACACAATTTACAGGAAGGACTGAAGGTGACTGAAAACAGAAACAAGATCAGCTGGGTTGCTACTCTAATGCCAGTATGAAATAATAAAGGATGATAGATTAATGCAAGTCACACGATCACACAAATTATACCAGTCAGAATTCTAGGAGTCAGGAATATAACTAAAAATTTTAAAAATTAGAAATAAGGGAATCCTAGTAATGACTGTATTAAGCAATTTTCTAAACAGGCTAAAATGGAGAAATTTCAAAAAAAATATTAACACAATTGAAATAGGGCAGGGACATGGGACAAGCATCATCATTACTCTTCCTGCCTATGATAAAAATTGCTAAGATACAAACAGTGTAGTAAGAACAGGAGGGACTCCATCTGAAGGCTAAGACTCCATTTTAAAAACTGGGGAGTTAGGATGTAAGATTCCTAACACATTCTTTGGTAATCAGACAATAAGCCATCCTATCTTAAGGAAGGGGCAAGCAGTTTTAACTGATATGTTCCCCGAGTTTGAGGGAAACCAGAGTCTTAGAGAGTAACCAGATCAATAGCTTGCTTGTGTTAGGTTTATCTTACATTATTATCCAGAGGACTGACTGTGGATGGTAACATGATGTCTCTCACCAAAGAGACATGTGAGAGACATCATGAGACCACAAGTCAAGCCTACGCTCAACAATCCCCACACCCACCCTTTGCCCCATTCTTGAAGGCCTTAGAAGACAGAATCCTAAGCCTCTAAGGGCACCTCTTCTTTGAGGATGCCTGCACTCCCCTTTCTTCAAGTATGTACTTTTCAATAAAGCCTTCTCACTACTCACCTCACTGCATTTTGTCTCTGCACTCTTCAGAGGTAAGCATCTTTGTTACTTCATTATTTCTATTTTCTAGACTTTAGCACAGGTATTCACTCTCTCTGTCCTACTGTAGCTTCTTTGCTCTCTCTGCCTCCAAGGCAGATGCCATTCCTGGCTACTCTCGCTTTAATTAATTCCTTCCTTACCTACATTCTTCCATTCTACTCAAGAATTCTTTCTCGTTGAGAGTCAAGAAGCCTCCCCTGTCCAGGCTGTTTCACCTGGTGAGAGAGACCTCTCCAGACGCAACTGCCCATCAAAATAACCAAGTCAAGAAATAGTAGCCTGAATAGTGTTTAACTATTAAACTAAAGCAGATTAAAATACCACAAACAACTATTTATAGCTATATAGCTATATATATATAAAACAATATACTCACAAAGAAAATACCAGGCCCATAGTTTACAAGCCAATTCTACCAAAATTTGAAGAAACAGACCATCTAAATTTTATACAAATTCTTCAGGACAATAAAATAAGAGGAAATTCCAACTCACCCATGAAGTCAGAATTACCCAAATACTAAAACTAGTCAAAGCCTATGAGAAAGGAACACTGAGGTCCATTTCATTCATAAATGTAGATGCAAAAACTAAGCAAATACTACTGAATTAAATCTAACAATGCATAAGAAAAGAATTCATCATGACCAACTGAGTTTATCCTGGATACAGAGGATGATTTAATAGTGGAAAAATTCATAAACATAAATGATAGCATTAACCTATTAAAAGAGGAAAAATAAAGATGATCATCTTAATAGATACAGAAAAGCACTTTAAATTTTCATATAAAGACAGTTACTAAATTAATAAGGCAACACCCTTACCTGAAAAAGAACATTTTTAAAGAAAAAAAGAGTAAACATCATCCAAAATGGGAAATGATAAAAACATTCCCTTTAAAATTACAAGATTTTTTTATTGGATGCCTTAGCTAGGCAGTAAGACAAGAAAAATAAATTAGAGGCATGAGGATTTGAAAGGAAGAAATAAAACTTATTATTCGATATACTAATTTAGATAGAACCTCCCCCCAAAAAAGCCCAACAGTAAATACTAGAGATAACAGAAGAGTTTATTTAGCAAGATGGATAAATATAATATTAAAACATAAAAGTGAACTGC